TTTAAATAAGTGTGCATGTGTGTTTATGATTGCATAATTTAAAAACTATTAAGTAGTATTTAAACACAGGCCTTTGTTTTCTTCGGGTGTACAACATGCCAATCAATGAGGATTGAAAAGCGTTCTGGAAGAAGGCTTGCTTATGAGTTCGTTGGTTTGTAATATTTCATGAGTGAAATACAGTTGTTTCTAAACACTTGTCTCTGAAACGTGTACACGAACAATATTGTTGTTTCACCTCAATCAGCCCCCTAAGGTTTAGCATATTTTCAAGGGAAGAAGGAAGCTAACAGGATTGCTGTAGAGGCAGGGCACATGCTTGGAAGTTATACCATTCCTCATCAGCACACTACAGCACTGACACTACTTCTCACAAGACCATACTCAAGTTCAACTTGCAGATATCTTATGCTGCAATACTAGAAAACTGAACCAAAAAAAAAAAAAAAAAAAAAAAAAAAAAAAAAAAAAAAGAAAAAATGTTCTTAAAACACAACTCTGTTTTGCACTTTAATCACGTGAACATATTTGACCATAATTTATTTCTCCACTGGACTATTTCATTTTGCTGATACTTTTCTAGCAGAAAGGTGCCTATGGTGGAACAGCATGCCTAGAAGAGGAGCATTAAGTCAAGCAGAGAACTTGCTGGCTATGAGCTTTCTGAACTGGTCGTGAACTTCCCACATTATAGTCAGACTCTAGATGTGAGTAATTATTTACATATTATCTTGATGCATTGAACACTGATCAGAAGATTTCAAAATGACAGGATATGCCTTCACAAGCAATGCAAGCAAATTCCAACAGGAGTTATTATTTTAAAAATACTTTCATGTTGAAAATATTCAACTCACTGCTTCTAAAGGTTACTTTATGTGATATTCTACATGTTACTGAGCATAATTCCATTCTGTCTTATTCCATTCAGGAAAGTGAGGCATGATGCATTTTAATAAAGCAGGTCCAGTTGTTCAGAAATGAATCCTAACCCCTCCCGTCCTTGACAATTCCCTCAGACCCAAACATAATGCTCAAAGCATGATGTGGCAGAAGGGCTTATCCAGCAGCAGAAATGGCCGTATTTGCAAGTATAACCCATCACAAGTTCCTTAGATACTTAAATGCTCAGAGCATTGAAAGCCTAAAACACACAGCCAGCAGGAAAAGGTGCCAGCATATTCTACTTCGTTGACCTGGGTTGCAAATTTTGCCTATGGCAGAGCTGTCAGTGCTGCAAACCTCAAGTTCCTAAGAGCTGTAGTATTTACTCTTCTGAAAGTGGAAACTTTATAGCTTTTACCTATATTAATTTTGGTAGTGAGTTTGACAAGTTTGTGTCAGGAAGAGTGCTGTTAAGACAATACAGAAAACCTCTCCCATAGGATTACCAGCGTATTTCTTTCTAATCTATAGCATTCTTTGCTGTCAAGCATTGGGTCATTCTTGGAAGAGACCTTGTGCTAATATTTAATGGTATGGGTAATCAAAGTGACCAAACAAGCTGATAGTTTCATTTCATAGAATTTTTAAGGCTACAGGGACATGTAAAGACCATCTAATTCCAACCACTTGCCGTGGGCAGGGTCATCTTCCCCTGGATCAGCCTGTCCAGGGCCCCACCCAAACTGGCCTCAAGCACCTCCAGGAATGGAGCATCCACAGCTTCTCTGGGCAGCTCCTGCCACTACTTCACCAATCTCTGAGTAAAGAATTTCCTCCTAAAGTCTAATCTAGGTCTCCCCTCTTACAGTATAAAACCATTATCCCTTGTTCTACAACTACAGACCCTTGTAAAAAGCTTCTTCTTGTCTTTCTCATTTCAGTTCAAGTCCAGGGCATCATCATCATTATTAAGTCCACTCAGTCCCCAAGAAGAAGACTAATCCAAGTGTATTTTAAAAGATGACCCTTCATAGATGAGCTTACAGTCTTTACAGGTAAGACACATCAAGTATAAGAGGCAGAAAGAGACACTACTCTCACTTCACACAGAGAGACAGTGATTTGTTCCAGGTCAAACAACTGGGATATTAATGCACATGCAGTACCTCAGTACTACCTTTCCCAGAAGGGTACAGCAATGGAATGGAAAGTATAGCAATGACAGCACAGCAGCACGACCCCAGGCTACAGCAAATGAATACCTGCTCAAATGCAACAGGCACAGAAATAAAGGAAAGAAACTGCTTACCTTCTGACCTCAGGGACACAGTGATCTCCAGAGAGATACCCTTGCCTCCACTGCCTACCCTTCAATAAGGTCTGGGAAGAGGTAAATCCTGGCTCACTCAAGTGCATTGCTTACACCTGAGCTCCCCTGAGTTGGCTCTGCCTTCCCACCAGGTGTTCAATCACTGGTTTGAGTCATTAGCATTTCTGCTACAGGTACACATACTGTTCCTAGAAGTGTTCTCTCAGCACTTCACAGCTAATTTGGGTTGTCACCAACCCACTTAACCAGCTTAATTGCAACAAATTTTCTTAGATTACCCACAGGCTCCCACTTTCTTGAAATAAATAAATAAATAAATAAAGAGGGAAAGAAGGAGAAAGAGGCTAAATGGATTGTATCTTTTGAGTTTTCAAATGATGACTCCCAAGAAAGGAAAAAAAAAAAAGAAGTGTTTTTCTCTTACAAGATTTCAGTGTCATGCTGTGTGCAAAGCCACAGCGATATATTAAAATAAACAAAACTTTCTTTCAGAGTGCAAAGAAATTAACCTGACAAAAATATTTTCACAAGACTTTTCTGTGCCATGAGTAAGTTTTCTGCTGGTATTGATCTCCAAGCACTGGTAGGTCCATTAGGAAAATACTACTTTGCACTTACTCCAGGTACAGGCTGCTAGAAGCATTTTGTTAGTAATAGTTATAGAGGAGTCCCTTTTCTTTTGTGGCCTTTGTCTCTAACATTTGCATAAAGCCCTGCTGGGACCCACTTCAAAATCCTACCTGTCAGTTGGTAATGTAAGAATGAACATACAGCAGACTAATTGAAAACACAGTATGAATGTTACAGGTTTAGGTAACCAGCGTGAATTTAACCTTTCTTTAAATTTTTATTTAAATGATTTCTCCCTCCTCCTGTCATCCATCTGAACCCTTAAGATCACCCCTGACAGCTGAACAGATCGATAGAAGGAGTGCAGAATAAGACAACCCGAGGTCACTAGACACCCAGTATCATCAGGTAACCCGATGCCCTTTCGTAGGCTTTAATCACATTATGCAACTACTTTTTGTGAGCTGAAGTGGACTCTGGAACACCAAACCTCATAATTTACAGCTAGTTGCACAGAAGTTCACATCAGTAGATTTCTACATATTTCCAGTTCCCAAAAACAAGTGCCATACAGAAAGTACCACCTAAGAATCCTCTTCAGTACTGATACTTTGCAGAGATATAGGAACATACAGATTCCCTTGATGTTGGCCAGTTCTCCCCTCTGCAACACACAAGAAACAACTAAAGTGTACAATTAGATACATTTATTATATTATAATTCTGTTTCCTCACATTCATCATATGCGTAAAGCTGTGAGGATCAGAGGTCAGTCTGGGATATTTTCCCAGCCTTTGACCACAACTTGGACTCTCATATTTGGATTTTGTACTTGCTCATTTTACTATGTCACAGTCTCTCTCCTCTTCTCTTGTATCTTTGCCCATCTTCCTCCTCATAAGCCACAAATTTCTAGATTCTCTTCCCATATTGTTTCTATATCCCCGCTCTTCCTCTATCTCAGCAACTAGTGCTCCCACTTCTTCCAAAAAGTGCTCTAATGCCTTTACTTCGCAGACATCAAAGTATTTCAAAGATCCCTAAATGCTGCTACCTCCAGATTTCACAATCCCAAGCATCGACTCAGGCACACGTCTCACATGTATGAATTTTGAATTGGACAGCAAAGCAAGTGATGCAATATACAGCAGCTACAAGAAGCAACACCTATATAGGAAGCAGTTGCAGTTGGAGACGCAGACACATGAAACTAACGCTGAGGCATGCACTAAGGAGAAGTGCCTCCTGGCTGTAGCACCATAGCTGCTGTGTGATCTTCTTTCCATACTTTTAGCCTATGTACCAGTTAATGTTCAAGTTAGACAAACAGATTACTGTGAGAGTTAAGTCAAACAACACAATGTCCAATAGACAGAGAACCGCAATGGCAGGGGACATAGCATATGAATTTCCAAGTACTGCAGAATGTGTTCAGTAATGTGTTTCAGTTCTCAGAAGCAACCAGATCACTGGATGCATATTTGAAAAGGTAAAATTTCATGCATTACCTCTTTGCTCTGCAGTGTATTGAGCTATTTCACAGTTCCTTGAAAGTTTTAACATCTCTTTAGGATGCCACAAAACAATGTAACAACCTTCAGGCACACAAACATGCAAAATCTGGTAAAGAGTGGCCTATATAACTCAACATGAATTTAAAAACACTAGCAGTAATAGAACAACTACTGCAAAATTGATACATTATCTACTAAGCTAAATTCCCATCCCCAACCCCAGCATGAATACTTTGTGATAAATAAAGACGCACAACAAAGCTGGCAGCAATGACAGCTAAATCCAAGGATCCACTGTGATGCAGAGGATAGATCAGCACTGCTTTTTAAACTAAATGTCTTCTCATAATTCGCACTTCCCTGTAATGTATTTCAGCAAGTCTGCAATCCTCACTTCAAAAGATGATATAATTTTCCCAAGCCTCTCCCTCAAGAGGTGTGTGGTTTTTATTATAGTTTACTTAAAAGCAGAGACTTGGAATCAAACGCTGGCAAACACATTACACACTTTTAGAAACTTAATGCTTGCTTTTTTTGTTGGTTTGGGGTTTCTTTTGTCAACTGCTAGGATCGTTTGAAAAGCATGTCACAACTTAGAGTGCCACCTAGTTTCTAACCCAAAGGTTACGAGCTGGTAACAGAGTTCAGTCTGCTTTCACCACGACTAAGGGGAGGAAAGGTTCCGCCTGGTGAAACTCACCCTTTTGTTGTTTTCTTCTTCTTGTGCCTTCCTAAACTCGTGCTCTAAGGAGCAGTCGATGTCATTGAAGAGGCCCACTTCCTCACAGTTCTTCAGAAAGCGTGTCGGTGTAGGAGTCTGATCTGAGAATATGAAAAGAAATGATCGCTGATATTTACTATTTGAAGTAAAGGGAGACAGTCTGCCAAAAAAAAAAAAAAAGAAAAAAAAAGAAAGAGGTTCTAGCTAACCTTTCCAGGCTGCCCCACTCCTACCGCACCATCATTAAAAGCAAACCACACAGCACTGAAGTCTGACACTGTGCACTGCAGACAGACAGTGCTTGCCAGCAGTGTCTGAAAGCAGGCAGCAGTCATCGTTCAACCAGAAAGAAAACAGGCCAGATTTTCACAGAGCATGTAACACAAAAGTATATCCTTCACATGTGGAAATGGTCATTATAACTATGCATAAACTTCCAATACTAGCTTCGTGCAAAACAGCGCACAGACCGCATTATAATGCACACTTACACTGCAGCATGCAGGTAAATGTGGCAGACATGCACTAACTCACGCCTTCAGAGCTTGAAAAAACACCTCCAATGAGCACGTCTCTGAAACACATGGGGTGTTAGCCACGGTATGAAGTTCTGCTTCTAGTGCAATTTTCAAAGAAATGAAACAGCATCAAGGAAAAATAAACTCTGACCCCAAAGAAGCATCCATATCTGTTTTATACCTAAAAGTCATTCATAATACATATAAACTATGAGATCTGGACTAAAAAAAATTTTAATAGTTTTCTGCATCTCTAGGAATATTTTTGCCCTCTCAAAAAACCCAGGGTAGGGCAAGATTATTTTGAATCTCACAGGCTGTAGGAACTCAAGCAGGTACAAGATTTTCATCTTCTTTTCAAAAACCTGCAGGACAGATGAGCTAAAGTGAGGGAAGTTCTGTAGGGTGTTGCTTAAGCGATGACTTTGGCCAGTCCTTGTCCATTAAATGAAAAGTCAAGCCCAAACTTGGGAACCATCATCTCTTCAAAGACCAGCTCTGAGGCAACACCATTCATTCTGGGGCAAGTTCTTTGCTACTGCACATCAGCATCCTCCCAGAACTACAGTACAGAACCACATTACAAAACCTTCTTTTGCATGGCACTTTCTTTTTCTCACTTCCATGTTCCAGATCAAACTGCTTTGGAGTACCTAATTTTATGGAAAGACTGAACTGTCTTGAAAAATCAACTTCTGCATACTCATAGACAACTACTCTATTGTCTGAAACTCATTCTTTAAAGAAGGAAAACTGTGTCATACTAATCCCATTGCCTATACCGGGCCAATTCTGACCTCAGAAGAAAGCATCCCACTTCAGCTGAGCTCTGGAAGAAAAATTTAGTATCTTGCATCTAGCTAAGTTCAATTTAGATCCAGTATTTCACCACGACAGGGAATAGTTACCAGACACAATAAACATCACATGATCAGAATAGAAACACACAGCAACCCCTAAACAAAAAGCAGCAAAAAAGGAATGCATTCAAGAAGAAATGCAGTTTCCACTTGAAAACTAAGCAATTGGGATCCATCTTCTGCCCCATAAAGCCACAGTGAAGCTGATTTCTACCTGTAGAAGGCATAGTTCTACAGGCTTGACTTTCTTAAGTAATATAAGGGCTAGCACACAGGTTTGCATTTATATTTTTGATGGAACAAACTGAGATAACACAAAAGGCAAATCCTTAATGTTAAAATTCTGGTTTATTTCTTTTGGCTTGAGCATTATACTTGTGAGCATAAAGGAAACAAAACTCAAGTGTTTGGGAATGTGCACGTATTTATCTATTAGTTTTCACAGTTTTTTGATTACTGTATTACCAGGCAGAAGCACAAGACTTTCCAAGAATCTCTCAAGGACTCAGCATAAGAGGCCAAGTCAATGAGTTGCTGACACTATGGAGCCTGAGGGTACTTGCCACTGCATAGGTCCCTACCCTAAACAAGAAGTGCCAAACTGTTCTCTGGGAGTAACCTTACTGATCTCAGTACAGTTTCACCAGGAATACCTTTCGACTATGGACTGCAATTTGCAGTGGAAGTGAAGTGTGCTGAAAAGAAGGAGAGATAAACCAAGTATTACTTTAGCAAAAAAAACATGACTACCTTGTAGAAAAATACAAAAAATAATCTTTGCCGAGTCTGACATAAAAGGCACGTAGATATTTGAATGTGAGGCAAATACATGAAGCATCTTATTTTTAGAAGTGGCATATTCATATCAAATAAGCAAGGTATCATTTTCACGACTGAGATGAGAAACCAGGGTTTCACAATAAACAAGCCAATAGCACCACATTCATCAAAACTAAAAATCCTAAGTTTCTCTGTAGTTGCTTGAATCCAGATATACAGACATATATACATAATTTTTTGTGTGTGAGGAAGGGGAAGGAGGTGCAGGGTATCTACCTTAACATGAATAAGGTCTCGTTTTTTCTCATCAAGATGCACAGCTGTTCAAGAAATCAGGAATTACTTTAATAGATTACATCAGCAAATAATTAATGGGTAACAAGTTGATTATAAGGTATGTGTAACAGAAACCAATATAATTGTTCTTGGTCTGTTCAGCATCTATTCCATAAATGTAAGACAGAAAGAAAAAAGTTCTCCATTAAATAAATAATTTTAACAGTGAAAACAAACCACCCAGAGAAAACATACAAAGACTTCATATTGCTTTCTTCTACGTGCAGGAAGAGTGTGTCTTCTGTATCACAAGCAGACTGAGATAATTTGCTCTGTTTTGTTATCTGCAGTGGGCTACACACAGTCTTATCAATTAACTGCTTCATTATCTAAAAGCATTAAAGCTGGTAGTTGAACTATGTTACCAACATATTGACATGGTAATCTTCAATGACTACATCAGTCTTCCTATACAGTTGCTGTAGCTTCTGTGATTCAAAAATCAGACTGGCAAGAATTCTAAATGTGATTTTATTAAAACAGACTGTCCCTCTTTCCTCTCCTCTCTGTCAAGGGAGGGAAAAAAATACCATAAAAGTACCATCATTAACTCCAGCCACAAAGCCTCCTGGAAGACAGCTCAGTGAGATATAAACCAAGAGACAACTTCCTTCTTTGTTCATCCTTCAGCATCTGTAGAAACCAGAAGTCCATGAAACCTCTGTGTTTGTATGACAGCAAAACTGATGAGGATCCAGACTTTAAAGCATCAAGACTTTATTTTGCATAATAATTATACAGCACATATACTGCATCCACTTATTTCAAGACCTCATATCTACCAAACCCATTGGACTTTGTTTGCTCCTAACACAACTATTTAGGCCCTGGAAAACAAGCTCTTTCTTAGGTGATGGAAGAATTTGCAGAAGAGTTTACTCAACACTACAATTACCCTTAAGCATAAATTAGGTGTGCCCTCATGTTTTAATTGGGAAGAATATTACAAAGGAGACCCTAGCAGAAGTTACACATTCAGGTCTCCTAGAATTAATAAAATATTCCTAATTCTCAGCACTTAAAAATGCATTAATAGTTCCAACAGCTTGTGCCTGACCTCACTGTTCCCTGTTTGGTACAAACAAACCTTTTGTTGCTATCACTAGCGCCCACAACTATTGAAGGCTCACTGAGAACAGGGCTCTGATTTGTTGTAATTCAGCAAGTGGATGTGCCAGACCCATCTGGACTAAAACTCAGACAGAGCTAGCACTACACTCAGCATTCCTGCTGAGGACATGCATCACTGTACAAAGCTGTCCTGCACGCACAGTGTTATCCACACAGGCCTGACTTTCAATGGCCCAAACTGCATTTTTAACTGAGAGCATCTTGGGATTTGGCTCACTCAGGGTTAACCCTAGATATCCAGCTGCTAAACTGACTGGCCATCCCAATCAGGTCCCATTGTTTAAACAAAAGTCTTTCCATCCCAAGCTGCCGCCAGCAATCATTTCCTTGGCTTTCAGGTTTCTCATCTACCTAAATGTGCCATCAGCCCATTACTTAGCAAGTTAATTCTATCTAGCCTTTACCACTAGCTTAAACAAAGAACCCATCCTGCTTCAAACTGGGCAATAAATATTTTGCTCAGCCTATTACTCAGATGAACCATCAGCCTCTCTAATAACGTAATCATAGACATAAAAGCTGCAAGAAACAAAGTTTAAATAAGCCCAAAAAGTGTAAGTAGATACATAGAAGTATGAATGTAAGACCAGGAGGTCTAGTCTATGCAGATCCCAGGGTAACCTATTCCTTCTTAAAGCAGAAAGGTCAGCAATCAGATTTTGACTTTAACTTCACACACAGAATATATTTGGGCTGCTGAACATTTTGAAAAATATGTCTTCAGTGTTTGGAGCGACGCATCTTTGTTCTCTGAGCACACTGAAAGTATACACTGTAAGGCAATAGGAAATTTTTACTTAGTAAAGAAAAAGAATCCTTCAGGTATTCACTATGTTTGTCTGTGTGGTTGAGTCTGTGTGCATGTGTGTGTTGGTTGATTTGTTTTCATTTTAATTACCAAGATAACAGCCTCAGAAAGGACACTCAGTCTCAATATTTTACTTTCAAAATAACAGCCTTTCTAAGTACAATCCCAGGAAATGCCATGTTAGTTTGCAGCGTATAGTTCATTTAAATCATCAAGTAAATCATCATTTTGTAAAACCATCAAATCCCAGAATTCTACCTCTCAAAGCATGAATGAAAACTTTAAAACATGATATCCACTAACAAAAGAACTGAAGAACCAAAAGGAAAGCTACGTGAAACAAGCTTCGATTTGAAAGATAAGAAAAAAAGAAGAAAAAGAAGAAGAAAAAAAGGAAAAAGAAAAACTTCATAAGTTCAGAGTTTGCATTGAACATTAAACTACTGCAAACATTATTCATCCTCAATAAAAGCAATCTAACAGCACAGCTCCAAAGTGTAACTTGATTCTTCATCTTTTAAAAAAAATGTTTAGTCTGATGTGCAGTAATAACAGCCATTTGGCTTGTTCAGCTGTGGGCTTTGTTGAAGTTTTATACTTACCCATGTTATACTTTCACACAATGATAACAAAGTCTGACTAACAGCACTAGCAATGAAATTTGAAGGGCTGCCCATCAAGCAGCAACAAGGAAAGACTAATGTCCTGAGAAATTCAGTAAAGTTTCTTCATTGATGCAGCAAACTACCACCCAAGTGTACTAAGAAGCTCAAGGTCATGAGACCTCAAGTAAGTGACAAGAGTAGAAGAGGAAGAAGTGGGCGCAGGTGCACCTGGCCAAACTACCCTCACAGTAGAAGGCTCCCCATGAACTTTACTGCTAAAAGATTAACTATTTAAAGTGCTGATTGGACTTTCTGTCAAGGTGCACATAACATGTACAACATGTCTTCAATCTTTTCTCAGAGCTTGCTCATGTGAGTTTTTGAAGAAAAAAGTGCAACTGACATTTCATTGTTAGGCAAAGTGAGGGACAAAGAAGAGTACAAGAAGTCAAATGAAACTACATTTCCTTACATCCAATCATTTTGCACACTACTAAATTCATTCTAGATAAACCTCCCCATGTAAATCACAATGAGAAAGAAGATGAGTTGATCAAGGAAGACATAAATTACCTCACTGGCATGGGCATTACCTGGAAAAGTAATACATTTGCACTGCCTTTGGCATATACTCTTTTTTGTCTAGAGATTGATTGTGTTTCTAAAATGGGCTTCACTACCAAAAGCTCAGAAATAAAACAAAATTTCCACACAGGTAAACCTAGCCTCTCCTACATCTGGTAGCAGCACTTTGAGGGAGACCTTTTCCTCCACAAAGGTGGTAGGGTTTCAGACCCTTCTAAAATTTGATATGTAGGGAATCTCAGTGTCCCTCCCTCCCAAAGTTCAGTCCCACACAGCTGCCAGAACTTACCTGGAGGGAACAATCTGTCACCAGGCATTAATATTTCAAAAACAAAAAAGCTTTGACATGCACATCAAACTACAGAGTTTCAAAGCAATGTAAAGTGCAGTTAGCACAACAGCAAAGTGATGATGTCTATTTCAGTCAACCTAACTACGAAGTTTCCTACAGGAATGACTAACCCAGAAAAGTTACACAAGATATTCCATGTTAACTTGAACAGCTCTCCTTTGGCTAATAAAGCTGCAAGTGGAAACTGTCCATGGCTCTCTCTACAGCAAGGTTGTAAAATAAAATGCACATAAGAAGGAATAATAAATAACATTACTTTTTTTTTTTTTTTTTTTCTCCTGTCTTTTTAAATGAATGTCAAATTATCCAACAGAAGAATCTCTTGACTATAATGAAATGCCTCTTAAGGACCTTCTATCCATTTATAACATCAGAGAACATAAACCTGTTTTAACTGCGGTAAGGGTGACGGAGCACTGGAACAGGCTGCTCAGAGAAGTTGTGAAATCTTCTTCTATGGAGATATTCAAAGACCCATCAGGACACCCATCTGTGTGACCTATTGTACGGTATCTGCTTTAGAAGAGGAGTTGAACTCAATGATCTCTTGAGGTCCTTTCCAACCTCTGCAATTCTGTGATTCTGTGTGATTCTGTCCATGTACTTGAAGTTTCTGAATTAGTTCAAAAATTGCCAGATACCATAAAATTTGTTCTTCAGCCAGCAAAAACTTCAAAGAATTGAAGTAAATGTAGTGGAGCTAGTTGATAACATAGTGAGCTCTTTGCTAAACACACCAAATGAGTCAGAATAGAATCAATAATTTCAACTAGGTCATGGAAATGTTTTTATTAAACGCTGACTCCACCTACAGAACAATATCTATCTTTATATATAGCATATAATTTTAACTTTCACTTGCAAATCAATATTCCAGATCTTAGCAGATTTTACATAAGAAACATGTTCCTCCTTCCTGAATCATATTTTGTTTGGTTTGCATGCTGTGCTGGTACAAGATCAAGCACCCCTCAAGGTTTTTTAGTATATATTGCCAATAATGGTTCTGATAAGATGTGCTTAGTGCATACTAAGTATCACTGATATTAGATTAACCATCAGAATGGGTGATGAACTACGTCTTGAAGCACAGACGATAATGTAATGGCTATCTGAAAGCATGCAGCCCATTATTTTGTATGCACTAATTACGTACAAATTTTTTTCACATTCTTTTTGAAATAATGAATGGAATCAAACACGAAGTGCCACGTTAAATTGTAGTATACAACTGGGGAAAAAAAAGAAGAGACTCACTTCTACACAGCTTAAAAAAGGAAGAAACAAAAAAAGGAACATCAGTTAGCAATGCTGCATCTTGCTTATTATAGGGCAATTGCTGCTGCAGTTCTTTGAAACAACTAATGGCAGAAAATTTAAAAAAAAAAAAAAAAAAAAAAAAAATTCTAATCAATAAATTAATAAAAAAAAAAATAAAAAAAAAAAAAAACACCAGGAAGATGAAGGCAGATGCCTGTTTCTTTTTTCCCCATATATCATTAATTGTTCACTACACAATCTAAGAATAAAACATCTTAAACTTTAAGGTATGTAGATTTCCCCAGGGTTTAGGTGGGTAACAAAACAAACATTTTTCAGTGTCTCTCTGGAGAGAGGAGGTCTGCAATGCTTCAATACCAAGGACTGCATAATGACGAACAAATTCACCAAGAGAACAAAACAAAAAAGCCATACACAAAGTATCAAGTTGCTGACATATTTGCCATAATCTCTGAGAGCACATATAGCTTTTCACTCTCATTATTACAGAGGATATTCATACACAAAGCACAAACAATATATCCCTCAGAAACAATCTGTAGCCAAAGTGGTCACAAAATTCTGCACTTGTACATAGTTAGCTGTCTGCATGTAAAGGGCCCTCACTATTGGTAGCAGTGGCGTAAACCAGTTCATGCATTTCGCCTTGGAAAGCAATCCATTGGAAGGAGCAGAATCACAGAAGTTACCAAACATAAATGGAACTACTCTACTCAGGGGACCAAATATACTCTTTAGAAACTGCCCTAGAGCACAACTCTTGCCAAACAAAGTTCTAACAAAACTAAGCACTTTCACAGAGCGAACGTGTTCACAGTACAGATGTCTTCAAGCAGTTTCACTGCCAGAGGACACTGTCTAGTGCAAGAGCAGCACTTTCTCATTCGTGCTGCCAACCAAACACAGGATTCTGTGGGCACAACTGCTATGCACCTGCTGCACAAGTCCTGCTCTTCCATGTGCTGAGTTCTGGTTCATAGTAATCTTAGTCCACTATGGCATCTTCAAGAATAAGGAAAAAGCTAAAATCTGTTTGGGATTAGTTCTCTGATTTCTCACAGGTACCTAAAGTCCCCAGCAAAATCCAAATTGAATATTTGCAAACCATCGCTAGTGAACTATAATTTTCATAAAAATTAAGTGTTTAATCAACCAGTGAGGAAGAACCTCTTAATCATGATACAGGAGGTGCCTGAAATGACAATAGATGGAGGAATTTTTGCTAAGCAGACACTCCTAGATTACGATAAGAACAATTAACCTTGAAAAACCTATTTCAAACAAGAAATTAAAAAAAAAAAAAAAGGGCTAACATCCACACACACGTCCATTGCAGTCTTTCTCTACAACTACTTCAAAGCCTGACAAATCCTAATGATGTTATTCTTAAGGATTTGTTATGATAGTTCAAGGAATATACAATAGGAAAGTGAATAGGTGAGGAAAGAAATGGTAAGACTAACATTAGTTTGACCTTACCTGGCAGTTGTTGATTGTCAGCAAGCAACCATTGTGTGGTTACTCAGACCAGAATGTAAGAAAAGCACTTAAGAAGCTAATGACTGTAATTGTACGTAAACATAGCTCTGTATAACGTCTGTGTGCGATGGGGGGAAGTGATGAGAGAGAGACTTAATTCTAGGGAGAAAGAATACTGGATATTACCCCCTGATTTACCTTTCTTCAGCTGAAGGATTTACAGCTATTTACAGTGGGCAGGCCTTTATAAAGGTGATTCACATGATGTGGCCTGTTCCAGCTGCTGAAGGGAGCCTGTCAAACTTAAAATAGTGAGCCTTACAGGAACGGCACAAATGCACTTCATTAACACGCTCACTGCTGGCTTCCAGGTGACATGCACTTAAGTGCCCATATTTCATTGTCATGTTGACAAGGGAGTCACTGATAGAGCTACCAGCATGGTGGAGGTTTAACAATTTCTTTCCCTCTCTTGCCATACCTGTGGGATGGCATAAGAATGGCAGCTGTCATTTTGTCCAAAGATACACATTCTAGCTTATTTTACCTCTACTTGTTATCTCATTTGAGCTTTTTTTTAAAAAAAAAAAACAACCTCTGAGGTATTTTGCCACTAGCTCTCCAGTAGAAGTCATACTTCCAACATCATCTGAATAGTTCTCTTGACTCTCGAATTCATGTCTTCTTACCTGATAACATATTATCTGTTTTTATTGAAGGAAACTTCAAAGTCATTTCATGTTTGTGCCTGTGAATCATCAGATGATCCTCTGTTGGAAAACGCTGTCAGGCAAAAACAGAGAGAGGAAGGAAAAAAAAAAAAGAATTTAATTCTCTAATAAACTTTTGGCATTAGTCAGAATTTTAAAAATGAGACTTTGAAAGAAATGTATCCTGCCAGAAATGTGTCCAAATGGCACAAGAACAGCCACAGACAATTTGTAAATGTGAGTGTAAGTAACAAACATCAGTACTCTCCTTAGAAATATATTTGAAGAAGTTCTCACTGGAGTTACAAACAGCAAGGGGTCACATATTTGCTTGAAAATGTAGCAAGATCAAGTTTGGGTTTTAAGGGTCTGGGACACAGGCTCCACTACCAGAGCTTCACAAGTCACCACACGCCTGAGGAACTGTGATAACTGCTATTGTGTATGCTTTTAGCCCACGGCAAATGCAAAGTAATGAGCGCATCTTAAATCACTTCACTGGATTTTTCTGCTTTTGTGTCTTTCTGCAACCTATCTCCTGAACTCCTATGAATAGTCACAAAAGCCAGCTCTTCCCTACCTAGAAACATTCAGGCAAAATGTTACTTTATTTGTGGAAAACCAACACACTGACATCAAACTGTTGGTGCAAAGGTGCTCAATACCTTACAATTATTGGTGATCCTTCACAATAGTAAATTATCTTCCTCCCCTTTGTCACGCAGAGAAGTGCTCTGTTTTTTTATGCTATTAATAGCTGTACTAATAGGTTCTGACAGCAGAATTTTACAACAAACAGCTCATTTTGACCAAGACAAAGGAGAGAAAGCTTGAAAAGATGTTGGAACACTTGAATACATACTTTGCTAAGTTAAAATTCAGTAAAGTTTCCTTCACTAAGTGAATCTGCAGAACTACTGTAGTAGTTTTAACAGAGTTAGTTCAGGACTAGTAAAGACCAAGAGGTGTTTCACCATAGCTTGGGAAAAAAAAAAAAATATATATATTTACTACAAAGAATGAATATATATATATATATATATATATATATATACACGTGTGTGTGTGTCTAAGCTATATTATATATTAAAAGCAGATTTTTAAAGCAACAGGTACATAGTGACTGTCAAAAACTAGCAATGACAGAGTTAAAGTGACATAAGTCTGTAAATACAGTATATATTCTTGGCTAAGTGACTTTGCTTGTGGCTATGGTATAAATAGTTGCAGTAGAATACACCTTCTGAGACTTTAAGCCCACAGACAAAGCAGCGTAAGTAATGGAAATGAGTTCCCTGGAAAAAAAAAAAAAAAAAAAATCCCCAAGACCTTTTCCTCACTGTGAAATCCTGGTTCATTGCTTACTCATCTGGAAGAAATGCAGCACTAGAAATTTATGTTAAGAACAAACGGAATTTATGAAAGACTTTGCTCAATGAAATCGTGAGACAAAAAATAAAGTATTTCCCTTCATGGAACACCATGCTTTGTCTCCAGAGTGAAAGCAGCCAAGCTTAAAGAGGGCTTTGTGTGAATGAGGAGAAGCTATTCCTCCAGCCCAGGTTCTTGTGTCTTTTTTTGTAAACTACTTTCTTATGCAGAACATCAACATCCTCGGACACACATCCACACTCACTGGTGGAGAAGCCATCAGGCATCTTGCTACAAAACACACTTGTGTCAATTCCACATTCACAGCAATCTGAGATCATGCTTTGGAGTAGGAACTTAAACCTTAGTGCCTTCCCAAATCGCAATTGCATACAACAAAATAGTGTCTCTGAGCACATAAATGAGTTTGTTGGGAGGATTAGCTCCCCACCTCTGACTGAAAACACCTCATGGCAGTCCACTGATTTGAGTGGAAGTTTGTTCTGGAATTCAACAAAAAGTTCAATTTTGACCGTAAGACTCAGATGTTATTATATTATCTCTGTGAGAGAATAGTCCAGTGGGAGCTTAACTCTGCCTGTGCAGGGCTGAAGGCACAAGTCCTTGGTCAGAGGGACAATCAGAAAGATGCACTCCAGCATCTATAGAAAGGCTCCTGCTTAGACAAGCAGCAAAGCTGCCCAGCCTTCATTCTCAGAATTCTCCTTTTTCTTAGTTCAGCTGCTGACAGAAACGCCTACATTCTGGTGATACTCACACAGTACTTTGTTAGCCCATTGTTCCACCATAAGAACCTATGGGATTGTAAAAATATGAGCCAGCTGAAAACCTTAAACATAGAAGGAAATATTACCCTCATTAAGAGAGGAGGAATCTGAGAAATGGGTAAGCTAAATCACTTAAAACAGATGCATACAGGAAGCCTGTGGCAAAAGCACAAAATATGTCCTTGCCTCAAAGTTTTCCTTGCAAGCTCTTCACTAAACCAATTAGGATGGAAAGTGCCACACACGGAACTTCTTCCCTTGGCACTGAACAGCAAGAGATGATGGTATTGGTTCTGCAGAAGAAACTCTTAAGTCCAATTAAACATCTCAGCAGCTTAAATCCTTGTCACTTCAGGTTTTTTGTTTGGTTGGGTTTTTTTAAAATAAAACTTCTCACATTACAGGTCAGATTATATCCTCAGAAGCACATGGCAGGTTGCCAGCCAACAGGAATCCCACATGTGCGTCCTGGGGCAGAATTCATCTATAGGCTGCACTTTCAATGGAGAATATTTAGTAGAGTAAATCTCTCAAATATTTAAAAATATATATATATATATATATATAGCATTGTATTTAAGAATTTAAAGACATCAGGAGAGTCTTAATATCAATATAGTATCAACATAGTATGAAACATAACATATTGCATCCACATATGAGCAGAAAAAAGACAAACACATCTTGCTTAGTGTGTCCCCTCATACTAAACATTAAGGAATTTGCAATAGCTGGCTTGAAACATTAGGATGAGACAAGGGAAGGAACAGAAGCTTGAGAAGCGTTCTACCAACTCAGTCTTAAATCGCTGTTATGTCTGCCTTAAATATTTTTTAGTAACATCATGTGGAACAAAGAGGAAATTGAGGGGCAGGAAGGACTTAAAAAAAAAAAAAACAACCCACATTATTATTAGAAATGTGCTAATATATCAGGAGGCATGCAAGCCAGAGCTAGTGCTGAGGACTCAATTAATATCACCGCTGACTCCACTCACCTGTGAGCAGCCTGGGGCACTGCAGACAAAAGGCCTCTCCTGCTCCAAGTTCATCTTTGATTCCTCATAAATCTACATGTTAAAAGGGGGAAGGGGAAAGAAAGGGAACCTATGAATATATACATTCTGAACATCACGAATACATGCGATGCGCAATCTTGACAGTTTTTGTTTTCATTTCAAAGCCCCCCCAAAAAAGCAGAGCAAAGTGTCATCCTTACAGTACTGCATTTGCTAATATTTGGCAGGCTCTCTAATTCTAAGCTCTAATTACTCCTTCCTGAGCACACATTTACTCTGAAGGAAGAAAAAAATGCTCACTAGGCTTTAGCAGCAGAAATCCCACCTCTGAGAAAAAGCATATGTTCAGTGTTGTTATTAGATAAGACCGTGTCTGCTCAGAAATATCTCGAATTAAGGGTTTTTACCTTTCCTTCTTCAGTTCCTCCTGAACAACATTAAAACCAGACGTCTAGGTTATTTCTGAGAACGAGCTCACTTTTCGAAGTTCTTTGTCCATACAGTTCAATATTAATAACTTAAATGTATTATATGCAGGGTCTGGATATGCACCAGACTAAGATGCATCAACACCCTTTAAAAGATCAACTAGGTCCTAAGGAGCTCCAGAAGCTTTGACTAAAACTGCAACTTCACCACAGCAGTCACAGCCCGGTAATTAAGCTCCAAAGCCTGGGGAAGAGCCCCTGGGTCTTAAGTAAATAAGGCAGGAGGAAAGCATTTGCCCTCAGAACACAGCAATGTGGCTGATTTGGGTCAATGTTCCCAGAGTGGCCCTGACCAGCGTGAGCAAAAATCATTTCTTAGTAACAGCCTAGGACTTAAAATAAACAAATCTCTTCTTGCTGAATGTTTGGAGCCTGTTATTACAATTGGCAATGTGATTTGGAAGTAGTTGACCCACCTTACAGCACCATCTACAACTTTGGCTTTAAATCCCTTAAAATTCAGTCTTGCCATAACCACGCTTACACAAACATTAGAGTTGTGTTTGTGTGAATCTCTTGTAGAACAAAAATGAATATCCTAGTAAGAAGCAGAATTTGATCCTAAGGGAACAAAAATGTGCAGTACAAGAACTGAAATTATTCTATTTTGCCATCAATTTCTAAAATCAGCGTGTCACTTCAGATTATCAGGAATATTTTAACCACACTTATTCTTAATTTTAGGTAGACTTTATTTCCAAGAGCAAACAATAAATGCGCTGTTAACTCAAATGTCAGCCCAGACCTGTAATTACAGTGATTATCTTCAGTAATGTAAGTTTTTTGTAGAACCAAAACTTTTAGATGATGACCATTTCCTTTTCAATACAGTTTACTCCAGTGAACAGCATTGGACTAAGAGTGTATTTCCTATCTATGACCAAAAAAAGAAAAGGAAGGCAACAGAGCTTCCTTTACCACCTCCACTGACTCCCATTCCTGTTTCATTTCACCTTTAACTTCCACAAGGATCCCACCCCTCAAGGTGCTGATTAGCACCAACTGGTTTTCTTGATACAAACATCTCCACTAAATCCTGGCCTGAGACAGACGATTCATTGCACCAAATGCAGTGAGGTGGTAAGAAAGACCCCAGCTCAGCTATCCAGCTACACCAGGCTAGAACTGAAATTGCTACAATTGTACCTGATTTACTCCCTTAAAATTATTCATATCCTGTTTTGATTTAACTTACATCTCCGTTAAACTGAAATAGGACACTCATAATCAGAAATGAAAGAGCGTGTTTACATCAAGACTTACATTAAAATAACTTAAAGTGTTAAATTTCTGCTAATTTCAGTTATTTCAGTTCCAGTCTGTGTATAGATAGGCTCTTCTGAGGTGAAGCAATAAAAATTCTCTGAATTAATGCTATCCTGCCTGAGAGAAACAGCAAGCAGAGAGATAACTGACTAAACAAACAAACCCCCACAAAAACAAAAACAAAACCCCAGCTAGTTTGATTTTTAAATCCACTTCTATTTATGGTATGTGACCCTGCAATGTTGTCTTTCCTAAAGACCTTTTCACAGAATAAAAAGGAAAGAAAGGCTTTATCTGAGATCTCAATTACTCCTGCAACTGAAGCTCTGCCAAATGTTTATGTTACCTCTTCCTCCCCTCCTCAGGGGACAGTGACAACTGCATTTTCAATAGCAGAACAATGGATGGTACTTAGAGAAAACAGAGAACAACAATTCTGGTCCCAAGCGTCCGAGTGAATTTTAATATGTTGCCATAAATTATTTGGATTTTGTTTTCTAATTGAGTACTGAACATGTAAGACTTCTCTGCTCTCTTTGAGCACTGCGACTTAATCCCTAAATCCATAAGTACATACAATTATATAATTACCAGGGTTATCTAGGTAGACAACATGGGACAAGCACCGAAGCAATACATGGTGCACATCAGCATCCAGAATGTTGGAACTGACTGAGGAAAACATGGACTTGGATTTTATCCCCAGTACTCTGAGAAAAGTGTCAGATCCAACATCAAGTAATTGTTCATCACAAACGTATGAGCAACTGCTGGTTCCCCAGAATCGCTCTTTGCAGACTACTTTAGAGGCTAGCATTAAGAAAAAGATAACAAAATAAAGAATGGCCCTACCATGTGTGCCCTCCGGGATACTGCCTCGTGTGTGACGTGATCCATAAAACAAGTTACCAGATAGTGCGATGCCCTCAAGTCAAGTTGCACTATGCAGAATTCATATTCATATCTAATGCCATCACTGTGGTTGTGGCTGTAATCACATTGAATCACTTAGAAGAATAAATGAAAGAAGCTGCCTGCTGCCTTTAGAGAAAGTGTGCAGGGCCACACAACGCAAGTTTCCTTCTGTACAGCCTTGCAGGTGGTTCAGCATGTCCAAAGGAAATCACGCAAGCAATGGCAACATATCTACTGCACCTAATAAAAATAAATCACGGCAACCTTTCCATCTAAATTAAGGTGCTTATTAACCTTCAGGGTCTTAAATATTCAAGTTACACTCACGCACCTTCCACAGTACTACACTTGACTGCCACAATGAATGCACACAAAGAATATCAGGCAAATCTGTGATGACTGAAAAGGTTAAGAATTGCCCTGCCTTATTTTTATTCATGTTATCGATAATTCAGCCTATTCCAACTGCACGGCCTCTTCAAAGAGTTACAAACATAAGTGAGCAATAATGTTGATTTGTCCACATTAGTCCTGGTTTTATTAACAATAGATATAGATATGAATGCTTAATGCAGCAGAAAAGGGGGTTGAATTTTAATAGAGATGTTAACAACATCTGTCAGCATTTATTGCCCTATTGTGACCATGTAAAGAGCCTTATTGGCTGAACGTAGAAGTGAGGAAATCTGCTACACTGTTGTAGCCTGCCACTCTTCTGAAATATCACCCTGCTCAGAAGCAGCTAAGGTATTCCAGCTATAAAAATAAATAAAAATATAGAAGAAACATAGAAAGATTTCTCCAAGCAATGCCACATCTAGGAGGAAGTAAGCACTGCAGCAAGCCAACGTGTTCTTCTATTTCTTAACTTCTGCATAAGATGCTTCTAAACATTTTTATTGTAAATAATAAAGCTGAAGCCTGCAGTGAGGCATAGAAGAAAAGAAGAAAGAAATATAAAGCAAACAGAAGAAACAAAACCACTCTCAGAGCACAGCAACAAGTTAGATTCCTTCCCAGCAGCATCCAGGAGAAGCATGCCGTGCTCTCACACTCTTCAAGCAGAACCCCACAACTGTCCCTTCTGGATCAGAAAAATACCTCTAACAACGGACACCAAGAAAGCACACTCCTTTCTGACTCCCTCTCCCCCTTTTTAAACTCAGCAGTAATCTTATTGCCTTACTGGTAAAAACATCAAGCAGGCTTGTTTCCTGTTTCAATGTTATTCTTGAAGTGGGCTGCAGTAAGAGTCTGATTTTCATTGGGCTATTATTATTTGCAGCTGTGCGACCTTTTTAACCCTCTTTTAAAAGTGACATTTCAGCCTCCAACCTCAAGCTGTCTAAACGTTGCAAGGTTTTCAGTCCTCTGATTAACAGTGAAAAAGAACCGGTGGGGAGGTGTACTACCATGTGCCTGGTACAGGTCAGAGCACCAATCCTGTCATTTGCACGAGTGAGTAATTACGCTCATACGAGCAACCTGTTTGTTGAAATTAATCACCTGGGCACATTTGCAGGACAGGTTTCTTCAGGCTGCTGTGACCGAGGTCACCGAGATTGCCAAACACAAGCACAAAATCCTCAGCCACTATGCAGAGACATGAGCAATAAATGAAGCATCACCTATTTCTTAGGGTCATGGTCACAACGCACGAGAAGTGAGAGGAAATGTAGTTATGGTGCACTCGTGAATATCAAAGAAACCCTTGGACGCATGCAGTGCTTTAAAACACTAGTGGCAGCTCTTCAGCACAGGACTATTTACAGATAATTACAGGGTTATTGCAAATGCTATTACGACTTGTTGGTTTTGGAAACATAGCATATGCAGGGTTAATGCCTACAGTTGCTCTCAATATGCCCTTGCATGAGCAAACCAATGTTAAGTAGCATTGTGCTGAAACAGTGCATGGTGTTTTCATCTGCATGGAGCACCCAGTGGAAGCGCTTGCTTTCTGAGGCTAGCATCATGCTTTCCACATGCACACATACAGGGCTCATTATCACAGCCCTGCCTGCTCCAGCTGCTACAACAGAGGGTCTGTCAGCATTTCCATTAGAACCCCCCCGTTTCAGAATTAAAACATTTCCAAATGGTTCTGGATGCTGGAAAGTAATTTGTGTCTGGAGTCCCCAAGAAGGCCTTTAATGTGATACACATTTGAGCTGGGGCTCAAGCCCCCACTAGTACTCCAGTGAAGTCTTTGTCATTACATTTATGACATTTATATGTGGAAAAACACTCAGCTTGGGCCTTTATTCATTTGTTTTAAAAGAGGAGAGCCCCATAAATCTCCAGGCAGAGCAGAGCACTCTCAAAAAGTGGTTGATGTGTGAATTGCCTCAACAGTGAGCCACATTAGGTTCCATCCCCATG